ACATTGAATTTAAAAAGAAAAGCAAAACTTTTTCCTGATTAATTAAAAATAATAATTGTAAGTTAATTATATTAAGAGCTATAGTCATAATTATATGTTCAAATAAAAATGCTCTTAATAAAAATTAAAATATTTAGCATTTCTTACTGTATGCCTTTAAAAATTGTAATCATTTTATTAGTCCAATAAAAAAATAGAAAGTCCTATTAGGAAAATTTTGAAGTGGAACATTTTGACTTCTCCAACTGATTTCCTTCTTTTATTTGGTACATTTTTCTGGATCATGTTCATGTGTGTTTTCATAAGAGTGTAAGAACAATCCTGATCCTGTTAGATCAAAATTCTTTCAGTTCATCCTGTTTTGACTCATGGACAGTACTGTAACATGAAGGAAGGTTGTTAAACCTGTGGACAATATCTGAATAACACTTCTTTTTTGCAGCTTCTGGCAATTAGCAGTTCAGGCTTCTGAACTGGACATTCAGTCTGGACTGTCAGACTGAGGAGCCACTGGTTCACCTAATCTCCATGAAATTTTTCATTCCTGCTGTAGTCCTTTTGTAATTTTGGCCTGTGAATGACTCCATGAAAAGAAGTTCCACAATATAAATGAAAAGTATTTCCTTCTACTTATATAAATCCAGCTAACTGATAATTTAATGTGCAGGCACTCCTTCCTTTCTGTGAATATTCCCTATTCACTTTCTGCATACCATTTATGATTTCCATCAGAGCTCTTTTCATTATTTTTCCAGTTCTAGTCTATGTGGTCTCTCTTTGAGTAAAAGCCATTCTCTCTTAACTGTTCTTCTGAATCAATTTTGAGGTGGATTGACCAGCATCATTTAATATTCTACATTTGAGTGCATCATTGTCATATAAACCCATTTCAGAACTGTGTTTTCCTATTAATTATTTTCTTAATGATTCCTGACACTGTACTAGATTTTGGGGTCAGAGCTGAGTCCTGACCTCATGTTTTCAGAGAAATATCTAAAATAATTCTGTAGGATGTACGTAACGTTAGTAGTTCAGCACTTCCATAATTGGTTCTCTGTAGTTTGCAAGTCATCCACTTTTGTGATGTCCTAGAAATCACTGAACTGATTTTTTCTAAACTATCTGATACAAGTTTAATTTGATATTATTCTTGATATCCATTCTCTGAAAAGAATGACTGTAGTGCAGCAGCTCCTTAACTTATAGGCAAAATGTCATCATTATTTTAAATAATTTAAAATTATTTTTAAACTAACTTTTGGATACACCTCAAAATATGTATGCCTTGGCAAAATACTGGTTTTTTTCATGTCAAAATTTAAGCTTTTTTTAAATTATCTGCTGTTTAGACAAGGTTTCCGCTCTTCAAAAGAAGAAAAGTCTTATTGCTTCTAACAGTTTCCTTTGCTCTGTTGTTAACCCCAGTAAACACTTTCGTTCCTGAGTCTGTTGATTATTCTATATTTTCACCATGTCTATAAAACATAATTTTTAATCAAACTTCATTCTGATTATTAACTTTTTACCCTCTCAGATCCCTCTTTAGCTTGTTCACTTATGTTTTTGTGTAATTCGTATAAACATTTCCTGTAATTCCCCTATTTAATCTTAAATTTGTTACCTTCAGTGTATTTTCCATTCCTATAAGGATGTTGAATTGGATGTGTGACAACCGTGATTCCCCAACAGCTGTGTGAAGCAATTCTAGAAGCAGGTCCTGTGCACAACAAAAAAGTAAATCAAGACTCATGTCTCATCTAGCTTGCTAACTGCCCAGTTTTTCCAATAAGTAAGCATTCAGGGGATCTAAAATGTAGAGTTTGCATCATGCGTTTTTGTTACAGAGTCAGCATAGGAATAATCAAAGTGTCCCAGTACCATTAATTTTCTGCCTTAACCACCCTCTGAATCTCCCTTAGCAAGTCATGGTTACTGTTTCTATCAGCCTAATACAGCCTGATATTATACTCCTATCACTTTGGTATGCTATTTCAACCCAGTTAGATTGTGTTAAGTTCAGAAAAAGTTATCATCTTGCTTATTTTTCACTTATTATTTGACATAATTACTCTAGATGCTCCAAATACTTTACTGAAATATGTTATCCTCTTGCTTATGGGTTTCATAAATATATACAGCAGTCTAGCCAAATAAACATAATATCAGCTTCTGCAGCAGAATTTGTTACCTTTTCATTGCTTCAAAGCCTACTGTAAACAATTCCCACCCCTCTTCCCAGTCACTCTGAAAATGTCCCTAATCTCACATAGCCTCAGATTTCTGAACTGCATGTCTCATTAGGAAAATATTACCAACCTTGCCTACTTTTCTGTAATTCTCAATAAATCAATTGCTATAAGCTATTAAAAGCAAAGTAAATCTGGATTTAGTGAGCAACAGCAGACTGGATAAAATAATACATCCAGATTTGAAGAAATTAGTAAATAAAAAAATTGAAAGTAAATTGACGTCATTCATACTCAGAGACACTTCTTAGGCAGGATCTCTATAGAGGTGGTTATTGTTTTGTTGATTTACCAGGTACAGCCAGGCATTGGGTATTGGGTAGATATTTGGCTACCCAAGCCATTCTGTGCTGTAGAAGTGGAAGAGGAAACTAAATCAGGATTTTCAGATGCTGCTTAAGGTCCCCTGAATCTTAGATACACTGTTTTTTTCCCCAGCTAGCCCTACAACTCTGCTCAAGTTTCTACCTTTTTGTAAAAAGCACAAATCTCTTAATGCCTGTAGCTCTGACATTCAAGAAATGGGCCAGACTAAACCTTTTAGTCTGTAGAGAGGGAAATATTTGCATTAGTAGATGATTCAAAATGGGATGACTTAGTAAGGCCTAATACATGGGATATATGTTCTCTGTCCCATAGCAGCAGTGTATTACAGAACCTGATAGCTGGTCTTCTTTTGAATAGCTGTTTCTTTGTTATGCTATTTCAAAGCTGAAGACCAACTGAAAGACAGCCATTTCTCATGCTCCACAGTTTTTCCTACACTTTAGAAAAAAGACACCACACATTGCTGTTCCAAACAAATAGAAAAGACATTTCAGTAGTTATAATTTAATGATGTACCTCAATCCTGAGACAGAGATAGTTCCCAATGGAAATCTTAATATTTTATTTTATTTTTTACTATTAACAAACAATGCAGTGTGTTTTAAAGGCATAATATAAAACAAGCTTTACAGAAAAGGTCAGGTTCAGCAGATGCCTTCCATAGATATGCAACATTCAAAATAATTAGCACACAAACACCATTATTTATTTCTCTAAGCAGACATTTCAACTTTTGTTTTTTTATACTATGCAAATTTCTGCTTGGTTCTCAAGAATTTATGACTGTTTAAAAAAACACTTATTAAAAATAAGAACAAAATAGATACACTGTATGAGTCTAGAAAAAAAAAGACAATAATTAATTTAAGAAGTGATGTTTTGTGCAGCCCTTCTTTCTGCTGCTGTTTCTCGTTGAACTTTAAAATGTTACAAAAAACCTGTATCCCAAGTTTCATCTCCCTATTTGACATTAAAAAAGATTATTACCTTTTCAAATTGATTTGTTTTTAATTGGAAAAAGACTTTTCCACACAAAGGTTACAATAAGACTCATATTCGTCAAGCATGTACATATTTCATGCCCACTTGTTACTGTGCCAAGGACATAAAAGTGAAAACCAGACCATTGCAAGCAACCTTTGACACCTATTCCTTTTATGATTTTTTTCCAAACAACAACAAAAATTAAAAAACAAAAAAGAAAATTAAAAAATTGGCCAGTTTCAACTTGCTATTGAAATGATGTCAAGTAAATATAAATATTTTGGAGGAGGGGTGGAGGGCGAGAGCTCTGCAAAGCACACACTGAATGCATTGTTAAGAAATGACCCAAAAAATGCGGCTGGATCTGCTGTCTGCTTTACTGTGATGCGCCTGTAAATTCAAGCTGATGCATCATAAGTCCTTCTTCTTCAGTAAGGAATGTGGCCAGCAGTATGCAGGTGGTATAGGATTTTCTTTATTGAGAGTTCTAATTTGGAATGAGGATTTTCAATGCTTTTGTTTGCCAAAAATTTGGAGCACCTGAGCCTGAATTACTAACAGCTCTCCGAGCAGAGTTCACATTTAGGGTTACCTGCATTCAATCACAAGACCTTTGAACGTCATAATGAAAAAAAAACAGGTTTTCTGATTCATGTCTGGTCTACGGTCCATAGAATTACTCTGAATCTGAAAAGGCTGCACTGTCCACGGTCAGCAATTCCCAGAGAACTTTTCATGTGAGAAAGTAAAATGCAGATATATTACATTAGATATGCAAATTTCTACATTTCTGCAACCCAATTTAACTGGATATAATATTTTCCAACTTAAAACATTGTATATTTTTTATATTAAACTGTGCTTTATACCACAATATTTTTTTACTTCATACTAGTTTCTCTTGCTAGTATGAAATTAAATTTCTCTGGTGGATAAGTTATTCTGTGTAATCTTTAGGCCCCGAACTAGTTTTATTTTTATTTGTTAACAGCATAAAAACGTTTGTGAGTCCATGGAAGATTCATATCTGTACAACGGTATGATCTAGCCAGTATTTTATAAAGTGTTTGAGGTTTTATTGGGATGAAATTAAGTACATAAGTACAAGATTTAGTTGTTTAGATGCTTAGGCATTTGAAGTGGTTTAATCTTTCTATCAGTTTCATAGTTTAAAGAGGTATTATCTAGCTTCATAAGCTCAGCTGACTGAAGAGGGAAAAGTTAAATATCCTGAGTAACGCCTATAGTCTGGCTAATTAGCAAATGTTCCTTATTGGAATGGAAAATGACTGCTGTGCTTTAAGTATTACTATTAATTATAATGTTAGCTGAATATTTGTAATCACTTCAAAATTAACCTTAGTATCCTCAGGAGATTTTTCTTGGTAAGAGTCACTTAGAACCTGAGAAACTAATTAGTCAATGAATGATAAGTGCAGAAAGAACATAAATTAGTTCTTTGTTTACTGCTTTATGACTGTACCGTATAATTTGTATTGTAATTAAAATTTGTTTTATAGTGTAGAAAGAAAAGTGTATAAATCAGGGTTAATAACAGTGTTTGAGAGTGATGCTGGCATTTCACAAGTGCTGTCTATTCCTTGGCCATACAAAGTGAGAGGAAGCCTTCAGGTAAGACTTTGACAAGTAAAGAAATTTTCTGCATCTCGTGACAGCGTCCACATTTTAAATTCACACATCACAAAGCATGGAGAGAAACACTTAAGATGCAATAGCTGAGTTCCTCCATGATTGCCTCCTTCACACAACTGCATTTGCCAAAATCTTGTGTGCTTGACATTCACTTGCTACATCTTGTTGAACAGGGCATTGATTAATGAAATCATCCCCTGAAGAAGATATCCAGGGCCATCCCATTAACCTAATAATATTTTTATGTAATAAACTCAATTAAAATATGTTAAATTGATACCACATGCTGTGCAACAAATATATTTATTGTCCATTATGCTGTAGACACATTCTATTTAAATATGAATTTAGTACAAGGGATTACAAAAGTTTGAATGTATAAAAATAAAAATAGACTTATACTATTCAGATTTAAAGCTCTAGGAAAAAAATAAAAAATCACAATTTCTGCTAGTACTAGGAATTATAATCTAGTGGAACAGGAATTAATGCTGTCATAAGAGAGGTTACATGGGACCAAACCTAAATGCAGGACTACCTTTACATATCTTAAAAGATCTCAGCTGAAAGATTGCTTCACACTTGGAGTCTTTTACTATGCATCCTATCAGTTTCATGTAATGCATTTTTATTTTAACTATTTCAAATATTCCTTAATAGATGATAATTTATTTCAAAAACTAACAGCTTTCTAGTTCTGTTAGATCAGCTTAAAAAATATCTGAGTATCTGAGTGACCAACCAAAATCTTTTTATACAGTTGGTCAGGACTGAGTTTGCCAGGACTAAACCCAGAAATCTTTATATTTCTACTGAAAGAAAAATGACAACAATAATCAAACCAAATTACATGGGCTCCTTTTACACGAACTGAAAATTGATCAGTTTCTGCAGGGAACTCTGAAAAACATATCCCAGAGAAGTGAGATTATTCATACTCTGCCTCTGTATCTTCATTGACTATTAAGGGATCGTAGGGAACTAAGACAGAAAAAATGAATTTTAGATAGATATAGTTACATGTGATCACTCCCATGCAAATTATTTAAATGTTATCAGACATCCTGATATTTTCTGAACGAGAAAGAAGAAAATTATTCCATTTTGTTACAAATGTTTTTGAAATCTCACTGACCTCATAAAATATTTAATTTCCACTAAAATTGTATTTCTCAGTCCTTTTCAGACAGATTTCATCAACTCTAACAAAACATTCAGAATATAAAAATATAGTGTAAAATTATTAATCTCTGAATGGTTCGGAGATCTCTTCCTACTTCTAGCTTCACCCCTGTTTTCCTTGGCCTGTATCTGCTGAAACTTTGCTATTTATTACCCCTTTTTTAGCATGAAGGAATCCAGTCAATTGTAAAAACTACAACTTGAAGTTCATCTCTTAGATCCAAGTAAGGCATATAATAATAATATGATTTCCAATAGTTTTGAATACCCAGACTATTGTTTTTCCTGTTACTCTGATTTGCAAACTATTTCACTGTAAGGATGCTAACCTGGCTATATCACTTATGTGGTAGATTTTGAATAGGAACTGCATAGGCTGCTGGAACCATGAGTCCAGTTCTCTATAGCTTTAAATAAACATTTAATGCAGAAGGTTTGGCTGAATCTCTGCTCTATGAGCTTCAGCTGACCACATGCCAAGAGACAAATGAAACACACAACAAATTTAATGGCCAAAACCTACAATCAGACAATCCAACAGGAAAGAATTGAGAAGATTAAAGACCTTTAAGAAGCAATCATATCAGGATACATGACACCTGGGGTTATAAATGCTCACCTTTGCAAGAGTACGTCCAAAACAAATCCATTGGAGGGGATTTAAGTTTGCAACAGCAAACTGAAAAATTTGATCACATGGCCAGAGTTCAGAAACATTGTAAGAACAGAATCTCCTTTTTTGAGAAATCAAAGTTTAAACCTGTCTGGTAGGTGCAAAATATTAGAATTATAGAATCGTAGAATCATAGAATGGTTAGGGTTGGAAAGGACCTGAAGATCATCCAGTTCCAGCCCCCCTACCATGGACAGGGACACCTCCCACTAAACCATGTCACTCAAGACTCCATCCAGCCTGGCCCTGAACACTGCCAAAGATGGAGCATTTACAACTTCCTTGGGCAACCCATTCCAGTGCCTCACCACCCTCACAGGAAAGAATGTCTTCCTTATGTCCAACCTAAATTTCCCTTGTTTAAGCCTGAATCCATTACCCCTTGTCCTATCACTACAGTCCCTGATGAAGAGTCCCTCCTCAGCATCCCTATAGGCCCCCTTCAGATACTGGAAGGCTGCTATGAGGTCTCCACGCAGCCTTCTCTTCTCCAGGATGAACAGCCCCAACTTTCTCAGCCTGTCTTCATACGGGAGATGCTCCGGTCCCCTGATCATCCTCGTGGTCCTTCTCTGGACTTGTTCCAACAGTTCCATACCTTTTTTATGTCGAGGATGACAGAAATGCACACAATACTCCAGGTGAGGTTTCACAAGAGTGGAGTAGAGGGGCAGGATCACCTCCTTCGACCTGCTGGTCATGCTGCACTTGATGCAGCCCAGGGTAAGGTTGGCTTTCTGGGCTGCAAGTGCACACTGAAGCCAGCTCATGTTCAGTTTCTCATCGACCAACACCCCCAAGTCCTTCTCCACAGGGCTGCTCTGAATCTCTTCTCTGCCCAACCTGTAGCTGTGCCTGGGATTGCTCCGACCCAGGTGTAGGACCTTGCACTTGGCATGGTTAAACTTCATGAGGTTGGCATCAGCCCACCTCACAAGTGTGTCAAGGTCCCTCTGGATGGCATTCCTTCCCTCCAGCGTATCAACCAAACCACACAGCTTGGTGTCATCGGCAAACTTGCTGAGGGCGCACTCAATCCCACTGTCCATGTCAGTGACAAAGATGTTGAACAAGATCAGTCCCAACACTGACGCCTCTCAGAGTCACCACAGGACACCAGTTGTTACTGGTCTCCAACTGGACACTGAGCCATTGACTATAATTCTTTGCGTGCAGCCATCCAGCCAGTTTTTTTTCCACCGAGTGGTCCATCTATTAAATTGATGTCTCTACAGCTTAGAAACAAAGATGTCGTTCTGGACAGTGTCAAATGCTTTGCACAAGTCCAGGTAGATTATGTCAACTGCTTTGCCCCTGTCCATCAGTTCCATAGCCCCACCATAGAAGGTCACCAAATTGGTCAGGCAGATTTCCCCTTAGTGAACCCATGGTGGCTGTCACCAACCACCTTGTTTTTCATGTGCCTTAGCATGCCTTCCAGTAAAATCTACTTCAAGATTTTGCCAGGCACAGAGGTGACTGGTCACTTCAGTCATTCAGCATGAGACTAGATATTGTGCTGCCTAATTTCCAAATTTTGTGGACTTTACTGTTTAAGTACCTTTCTAAAATAATCTTCTCTTTCTAACAATCTTCAATGTGCCTCTATCGAGCTGGAGCAAGTTGTGCATATTTTCTTCTAGTTAAAGCTGTTTTCACAATATTTTTGTTATTCTTTCTTCCCCCACATATTTTATGTTTCCAATTCAGCTTGTTAAACCAGGAATGAAACTAATTAGTTTGTGGAATCAACTGATACGCAATTTAAAGTAATTTGTGGTTTTATTTTAAGGATATCTTCTGATATATCTCCTGAGCCATAATTGGGCCACTGGAGAGGTTAATTAAAACTTTGTAGATTAATTAAACAAATTCCATCCACTTTTTTCTTATTTAGTAATTCTCACTTAGTTTCATTCTATCAGTTGCAGTAATGTGTTTGTAATGTGGGTTTGGGGGCCTTTTTAAGTACTAAAAATCTTAAGTTGTTATCACAAAATTGTTCTTTTAATCTGAAGACTAAAAAAGGTAAAAAGCTTACTTTAGATAAAATTTCATCATAGTCAGTGAACTTTATTGTTCCTCTCAGCTTTTCTTTTTAAATTATTATTATTTTAATTTCAGAATCATAGAATCAGATAGAATCCTAGAATCATTTAAGCTGGAAAAGACCTTTAAGATCTTTGAGTCCAGCCATAATATAGTATCTTTCTCTCAACAGTAAGGTGTTGCTGCCTCTCACATACCTACATGGTGACATACTGCTTAGGGAATTTGCTGTGGACAAGAGAATTTTGGGTTCTGGGAGGATAAATTTAATCCCTTTTCCTGGAAACACTCTACTTCCTGAATATTTTTCAAGATTATAATGAACATTCAAACTACTTTAATAAGAATGAGTGCATTGCTTGACTACTCAAGTAAGAGAGACAGACAAATGATTCTGACCACCTATCTGAAACATGTTTTAGGGAGCTGTAGAAAATACCTTCTCTGTTCTCTGTTTCAGGATAAGAATGCACAGAGAGATTTTCACTTTGATGGTGAAACTCCGTATTAAAGCTTTTTGAAACATGAAAATTGTAGCCAGTATTGAATGCAATATTATCAGTTCAATGTATAAATACATTAATGTACCCACATGTCGCGGTTTAAACCCAGTCAGGCAATTCGTTCGCTCACTTCCCCCCCTTTCTTGCCCTCCCCCTGCTCTCGGAGGGACGGAGAGGAGAATCGAAAAGAATGCAACTCCCACGGGTTGAGATAAGAACAGTTTAGTAACTAAGGTATAACACAAATCACTACTGCTACCACCAGTGATAATAATGATAAAGGAAATAACAAGGGAAGAGAATACATCATCTCACCACCAGCCAACCGATAACTTGCCCCCCCTCAGCCCGACCAAGCACCGACCGATACCTCCTCCAACCCTGCAGTCTCCC